CTGTGCATGGGGTCGCTATGAGTCGGAAACGACTCGACGGCACTTAACAACAACAACAACATCACTACAGAAGTAGATTGCCCAACCTTCCTTCTCAGGAGTGGCTAGTGGATTTGAACAGCCAGTCTTCCAGTTAGCAGTCAGAAGCCTTAGGCACTTCGCCACCTGAGCTCCCTCCCTAGAGAGATACTGCCTCGGAAACCCAAGAGGGGTCGCTATGGGTTGGGAATGACTCCATGGCATGAGTTTTTTTCCCCTTTTTTTAAAAAGTAAAATACATCTGCATGTCATTTAAGTGATTTTTATTAATACAAAAGAGGCTAGCAGGCTGCTTTCAATATAGTATTTTGGAAAAGTAGTCACACTTTTTTTGTTTTCAATCTCCAAACATCCTACAAATTAAATGACCAAAGCTAAGTCCAATGTAGATATTGAACATCTAAATACCATTCTGGGAGCTCTGGTAGCATAGTGCTTAAGGCACTTGACTGCTAACCAGGAGGCTGGCGGTTCAAACCCACCAGCCACTCCTCGGAAGGAAGGTTGGGCAATCCTACTTCCGTAGTGATAACTGCCTCGGAAAACCAAGGAGGGGTTGCTAGGAGTCGGGGGCCGACTCTATGGCAAATAACAACAACAACAACAAATACCATTTTGTTAGACTCTACTAGGCTGTTTAGCTCCTGCATTCTGAACTCTACAAATTCAAGTAGAACATACACTGTACATTCCTAAATTCTGCAATTCCAGCATTCCTCCTCAAGAAATCTTGGGAACTTCTGAAACTATTATCCTGAGATAATCTTTAAAACCAAACAATAGTTTAGCTTAACTAGTAAAATGTCTGCCTTGAGTAATATGCTCTTTCAAGGACTATCTCAATGGGATCAAACTGATAACAGCAACTTGAAAGATTAGATAGGAATCTTAGGGGACAAGGAGGTTATGTTAATAAGGGAGGAACAACTCAGAAAAGGAAGATGAGAATGGTTGCACCACTCTAAAAATGTAATGAATGTCATTGAATTGTACACATAGAAACTGTTGAATTGGTGTATGTTTTGCCATATATAGTCTCAATAATAGAAACAAAATAAAATAAATAAAAATCTTGGGAAGAGCCTCCATGAAATCACTCAGCATAAACTCATCAACAACAAGAGAACAGAAAATAATCTTGATGCTTTATTTAAAAAAATAACAATCTCCAAGGTATAAGAAAACATTTAAGCCCACAGTTTGGCACAGTAATCTTTAATAAATAAGGTTCTGAGAAAAGTTGTGGAACAATCAGGGCTAGCATCAAAGTACAATCTGTGCAACTGCACAAGGTCCTGCATTTGGTTTAATGCTCTGCTGTCATAATCCTGAATTTCTTAATAATTTCTGAACAAATTATGTAGGTGTTCCTGGGTACCATATTCAGAGGATCCTTTAGAAACATAGCAGTGTCATTAAAAAGCAAATGT